ACAGGTGGTCAGAGAACTAACTGGTGGTCAGAGAACAGGTGGTCAGACACCTCCTCCTCCAGAGACGACATGAACGTCTCATGTCACAACGTACTTCTTCCTCAGCTTTGGCTTCACCGTTCTCAGCAGGGGCGTCTGCTGCTTTGTCCTCAGGCTTGACCTTCTCCACCTCCTTGGCCTTCTTCCCTTTAGCAGGTCCTTTCTGCAAACACAGACATTTAACTCGCATATGAAACACCGTTCAAAGGAACGGGATGTAACTGGACACACTGGAGAAGAACCTACCTTTGGCTTGGGTTTGGGCTCAGCCTTTGCAGGTGCAGGTTTCTATGTAGAAAAAAGGCAGTAGAATCGTACGGAGTGTCTTTGACAGTGAACGTTCTGATTACTGACTCTTCTACTTACATCTTTCAACCTGAGAGACCTCCTCTTGGGCTGTGGAGTGCACACAAGTGACAAACATTACCATCCAGTTGTTGCTGACACCTGCTGGCTCTACACAACTCTACCACTACAAATGACTGGTACTTACTGCTGAGTCCCCTCCTGCAGCTGCCTGCAACAAACACATCAAGTATTACTTATTAGATAAATATTACTACTTATTCAACTCAAAGAGCTGCGTACACATTAAAAATGAGATCAACCAGAGTGACGGTCTCATCCACATTAAATGGCTGGCCGTGTTTCTTTACTCTGACCACACGTTTATGGCCGTCTGATTTGAGAAGTTTTAGTCTAAACATTTACCACACAATGAGTTTTAGAGCTCTGTAGGTCCTAAAGTACTCTGGACTGTGGAAAATACAGAGTGACCACTTCTTTTAAAATGAGACATTTGTCCAGAGACAAACACAGATTCTTGTACTTGGTTCTGTCTGTATTGTTAAAGTGTTTAATTGTCAAACATTTGTTAGTTTATTATAATGTAACGAGTGTTTAGTGAGATTGTCTGGTATTTGCACACGCTGCAGTAGAGCTGAAACGATGCCTCGATCGTTCCAGGACCTCGATTACAACTCCAAGTGTATGTGCTCGAGCTTCCTGAAACTATTCAGAGCGCTGTGGCGTGGACAGAAGGTTCTTGTGTTGGGGTGCGACTCTGTGTCTGCCCATTCGATTCTTGGTGTCACGGTTCGATTACAAAACTGTTTTTCTATTCCTGGAATTTCCAGCCAACCGTGCATCTGTTTGTGGACACAGATGCCTTCAGGGTTCACAAAAAAATCAGACAGACGGTTGCGAGAGGCTGATGACAACTGATTACAAGCACACATTCACGGAGTGGTCCAATTATCGTATATCTGGCCTTTTTGGGTTTATTGATCGTACAGAGGGCAAAATTGTCGTACAAATACGATAATTATTGAACACCTGGCAACACACAAAAAAACAAGGGGTAATTTTACTGAAATTACTTTATTTAGTAAAGTATTCAGTCTCCAAGTATAAAAATAAAAAAATAAAAAAGATCCTTCTGTTATTTAGATTGAAACAGTCTGCACAAAATATAGATCAATAAATCCACCACAAAAACTGAAGTGCAGGTGAAGTTTCTCAAAATAACTAAATAAAATAAAATGAAGCTTAAGATCTGTTGATCATAAATGTAACAAAATATAAGTTTCTTTAAATGAGCTGTAACTTCCAGAAGTTGTAACAAGGTGATCATGTGACCCTGAAGCTGGTGGAGTTTCATCTGTTCCTGCAGGAACAATTCATGACTCTGATCACCTGACTCCGTCTCTGATCACATGACTCTGTCTCCGATCACATGACTCTGATCACATGACTCTGTCTCTGATCACATGACTCTGTCTCTGATCACATGACTCTGTCTCTGATCACATGACTCTGATCACATGACTCTGTCTCTGATCACATGACTCTGATCACATGACTGTCTCTGATCACATGACT